CAGCAGGCAGAAGCTCTGACACTGAACCTATGAACAACACAGCTCGTTCGCAGGCTGTCATTTTCCAATCGGCTCCTTTTTTACCCAGCCCCTCATTTACATTGTAAACAGGCAGAAGCTCTGACACTGAACCTATGGGCAACACACATCCTTTCCAGTCTGTCATTTTCCATTTGGCTCCTGTTTTACCCAGCCCCGCATTTACGGCTTCAGCAGGCAGAAGCTCTGACACTGAACCTATGGACACCACACTTTCTTCCCAGGCTGTCATTTTCCATTCTGCTCCTGTTTTCCCCAGTCTCCCATTTATGGCTTCAGCAGGCAGAATCTCTGACACTCAACCTATGGACAGACAACACACCTCCTTCCCAGGCTGTCATTTTCCATTCGGTTCCTGTTTTCCCCAGCCCCACATTACAGTTTCAGCAGGCAGAATCTCTGACACTGAACCTATGGACAACACACCTCCCCATGCTGTCATTTTCCATTCCGCTCCTGTTTTTCTCAGCCCCCCACTTACGACTTCAGCTATCAAGGGTACTTCAGCAGGTAGCAGCTCTAACACTGAACCTATGGACACCACACCTCCTTCCCAGGCTGTCATTTTCCAGTCTGCCCCTGTCTCCAGGCGGAACTAATAGCCATTTCACAGGGCTGATCCTTGTTCTGGGAACACACCACCAAGTGGTAGCAATGCCTCAGCCCATTCCTCCACGCATTTACCTGTGACACGGGCAACAGATAGACAAACACTTCAAGCTTCCTCAGTCCCAGGTCTCCCGTCTCAGGCCAAACTGGGGGCCAACGATGTGCCGAGGCCTAACGAGTGTTTTCTATTGGGAAACCCAGTAGCCTCAGCACAAGTTAAAGTCCTAGCCGCTCCTGCAGCCTAGCCACCGCGAGTCAGCATCATGCAGTCAACTTTGCCCTCTTCCGTATTTGTCACCACCAGCAACATGCAGCCAGGCTTTGGTGACTCCCCAGGCATTCTCCCTAGGTCTGTGTCCATTGCTACTGTGTTTGGAGTTGCCACCAGGATGCCCAGTACTGGAGACGGTAGCTCGCTTTTTGCCGACACCACACCGGGCCCACTGTTCATGTGACCTGCAACCCCTATGGCGGGTGGGAGCCTTGGAGTTGGTGTGTCAGCCCCAGGCCTCACTCATTCAGAGGCATCCAGACCACTTAACTTTGGGACAGGTCTAAGTGGGGCACCCAGCACCACTTCTGTTCCTACTTTGGGACAACCTGCCATCTACCTACCACGGCAAGGCTGCTGCAGTAGGAGGGGCAGGCACCATCCCAGCATTTGGGAACATACCTGATTCCACCTTAAATCCAAATACCTGGGGCCTACCTGCACTGAATACAGGTGGTACGGTGATGGCAGGGGACAACACCATCCCCACGATGGGAGGCCCTAGTGTTTCTTTCCACTTTCCGCCACTGCACACAGGGCCCACCTGGACGTAGAAAATCTACGTTTAAAAGTTCCATCACCAAGGAGACGAAATCTGTGTCAAGGGACATGTCAGTTTCCACCTTCCAACAGAGCACACCACATCTGCTGGAGTTGCAAGTGTGGGTACCACCCATGGGTTTCAACACACTTCTAGTTCTACCTTATTTCCGAGCACAAGGGGCCCACCTGCCCACTAGGTGGTGGTCGTCTAGGAGGGAACAACATCATGCCCATGATTGGAGGACCTGGTATTCCCGCTTACAACTGGGACCCACCTGGCCAATACACAGGTGGTGAGGATGGAGAGCACAACATCTCACCAGTACTGGGAAGCCCTGTGTCAATAACTGCCATCAGACTTGGAACCCATCTGTGCAGAGAACGGGGGGCCATGGGGGACAGCACCACACCTGCTGTGACTGCATACACTTCTGGTGCCACATTCATACAAAGCACCTGGCCCCCACCCACCCAAAACCCAGGTGGTGTCATGGGGGATAGCACCATCTATATTTAGAGAGGAACCTCTACTCTCAGAACACTGGGGTCCCCAATTCAGGACACCCCTCTGACTTAGACAAGCCAGCATTGTGTTTGGAGGCTTCTGGTCAGGGCAGCTGTGCCTGTGCTCATAGGAGCCTGGCAGCCTCATAACTTGCCCAGGGCTTCATAGGAGCCATCAGCTAATTCCTTTCTTCTATGAAGAAACTCTACAAATGAAGAGCAGATCTTATTCTGCAAACTGTGTGTAACCATGAATGGACTTTGCCTCACTGGAAAGCAGCTCAGCCCGTTTAAGTGAAACTTAACCTCCTCTCTTCCTACAGCAAGCCGGAGGACCACACCTCAGGGGTGTGCAAGAGTGAGTGTGTGTGTGCGTGTGGCATATGAGCCCACTTCAGAAATACACCAGACTTGAGAAGTTCCAGTTAGGAGAATGGAAGAGAGCTGCCTGTATCATCCACTGTGCCATCCCTGGCTTGACTGTTAACTTGGCGGACCCAAGCCCCCAGCCAGTTTCCCTAGACTTGGAACTGGCAGGATGCCCACTGCTGTTTTCAGATGCTTCCTCTCCCCCTATGCATTTGCCTCAATGGGCCCTTCTCTTTCCCAGCTTTATGTACATATATATATATGTCAATAAAACCTTGTTCATATTAATCTGCTTCTGTTTATGTGTCTTTACTCACTGACTCAGCTGTAGAGGAAGAACTGACATATGTGAGTGGTGATGTGGGAGCCAGACTTGAAGACACCAAAAGTTTGTGTCCCAGTAACTGGGATGTGGAATTAGGCATACATTATGGCTGCACGTGCTGAGTCCTGAAATCTGTTCTCAGTGTAACGAGTGACAATCAGGAGGAACTAAGGTCCAGAGGAGGGAGAGATGGGGTGACTCACCCTGGCTTCTCTGTATGTCTCTCAACAACAAAATGTGAAGATGATACCTGTCATTGGACAGGGAGGAACAATTAGACACTATGTGTCCATTGTCAGAGTGTGCAATGGCAACAATAAGGCTGAGAAAATAGCTGAATGTGTTCAGTCTGACACTCAAACAGCTAATCAGTCGGGCAAACATAACGACGGGAGAAAAAACTCACTAGATGTCAGAACTGCTGCCTCTCGAACAAGAAAAGTTTCCAGCCAGAGATGACGCTCCTCCATGGCCCGGATACATTCCATGTAGATTGAGGCGCCCATCACCAAGGCAATCGATATCATCAGTGCTGCCCAGGAAAGCAGTCCCATGCCTGTGACAGAAGCCTTAGATCGTGTGCTGGAAATTCTAAGAACCACTGAATTATATTCACCACAATTTGATGCTAAGGACAACGATCCTCATGCCATTGACCTTGTTAGGGACTTAATGTCTGATGTTTTGCAAAGACCATCCAGGAATGAGTATGTTCTTTCAACAAAAAACCTTCAACACGTTTCCAGCAGTGTAATCACCTCCACCTCCCTTCACAACGTCCAATCACAGATAACTCGGGCCACGGAAAATGAGGAATTCTGGGACTTCGATATTTTTGAACTGGAGGCTGCCACTCATAAAAGGCCTTTGACTTATCTTGGTCTCAAAATATTTGCTCGCTTTGGAGTCTGTGAAGTCTTAAAATGCTATGAGACAATGCTGAGATCATGGTTGCAAATTATCGAAGCCAATTATCATGCTTCTAACCCCTACCACAATTCTACACATTCTGCCGATGTGCTTCACGCCACTGCCTATTTTCTCTGCAAAGAGAGGATAAAGCAAACTTTAGATCCACTTGATGAGATCGCTGCCCTCATTGCAGCCACTGTCCATGACCTGGACCACCCCGGGAGAACCAACTCCTTCCTGTGCAATGCTGGGAGAGAGCTGGCCATTCTGTATAACGACACTGCTGTGCTCGAGAGCCACCTCGCGGCCTTGGCCTTCCAATTGACCACTCGTGATGATAAATGCAACATCTTTAAAAACATGGAGAGGGATGACTACTGGACGCTGCACCAGAGTATTATCGACATGGTCTTAGTCACAGAAATGACAAAGCACTTTGAGCACGTCAACAAATTAGTCAATAGCATCAACAAGCCCTTGGCAGCATTAGAGGAAGATGGAGAAACTGGTAAAAATCAAGAAGCCATAATCACTATGCTCAGAACTCCAGACAACCGCAGTCTGATCAAACGAACGCTGATTAAGTGTGCTGATGCGTCCAATCCCTGCTGACCCCTGGGAAAGTGCAGTATCTCAGAATCTGGTGCACGTATCTCAGAAGAATGGTTTTCTCAGACTGATGAAGAGAAGCGACAGGACTTGCCTGTAGTGATGTCAGTTTTTGACAGAAATACCTGCAGCATCCCCAAATCCCGAATCTCTTTCATTGACTATTTCATCACAGACATGTTTGCTGCTTGGGACGCCTTTGTAGACCTGCCTGAGTTAATGCAGCATCTTGACAACAATTTTAAATACTGGAAGGGACTGGACGAAATGAAGCTGCGGAGCCTCCGCCCACCTCCTGAACAGTGGGCGACACTGCCCGGGGCCCTGATGCTGTGTCCCTCCAGTCACTTGGGATTCCTGAGGGCAGAGCTCCTTGGTCCTTTCGTCCCCTGGTCTGCAGAGCCTGTAAGAGCACACAGGGACGTCGGCAACCTTCTGTAGCCACCATCTGATGCCACTGCCGTAAAGTGAGACTTAGTCCACTCAAGGTACCTGGGCCTGCTGCGGGGGCGCTTCAGAAAGTCACGTGAGAACCACGGTTTGCCTTCGCGTCCATTAAAACACGAGCTCGGGACTGCCCCCGCAAAGGACGGAGATGGATTTCCTGCCAGTGACAGAGAGTATCTTGTTAAAATTTCTCTCAGTTATGTTCAGCACTTAAGAACAGCTAATGGCAATCGGATCTTTTTTCACATCATAGAAGGTGCAATCACTCACTTTGGAACACTACTGAAAGTGACTTCTCTTTTAAAATTGAACAGAAAATGCAGACAAAGAAATTTTGAAGTTGATTATTAATATCAATTATTAAATGTTTTATTTTATTAGAAGTTCAATATTTTCTATGAATTTAAAAATAATTCAAAGTCAAAGCCAACTTTAAATGCCATGACCAAATTTACATGATTCATATTAATTAAATACGCATTACTTCGTGTACAGATTTATTTTCATAATGCAAATTTCAAATATAAAATGACACAATTTTACTGCAAAAAAAAAACCACACTGGAGGCTATATAATCCCTGATGTGTGACAAGGAACCACACTTTATAACTACTTTTCGAAAATGTTGAAATGTCTTTTGGGGCATCTTTTTATTCAATTGAGACTTAGGCCAGTCATCTTCATACATTCCCACTACACTCAGAGAGGATGGATTTGGCATCCAGGTTCACGTATCTGTAGAAACAAAGGAAGAGTTCATACCTGCTCTGTAATTACTGAAAATTTAAGTTGACCTCAAATGTACCATGCTGCTTAAAATAGCAGAAAAGATCCTCTTTAATAACTGGCTTGGCTCTGAGCTAACCCACTAAAGTATCAAATCACAAGAGTTATAATTGTGCCCAGTTATGGCTGACCCTAGAGTTCTGCTGGACCTTCACTAGGTTTCATAATGGCAAAATTCCTGAGTCTGTGCAGCCTATCTTCCACTTGGAGGGGAGAACAGAAACCCATGTACATTATCTGGTAGGTTCCCCAGTAATAAATGCTATGGAGATTAAGCAGTATATGGTGAGGTGATATTGTGGGCAGAGAGAAGCAAGGCTTTCAACTTAAACGGTAGACAGGATAAGTCTTACTGGGAAGGTGGAATTTGAACAGTCTAGAGGGATTCAGATGAGTCAGACATCTGAGGGAAAAGCATTCCAGATCATGGGAATAACCTCTGCAAGGCCCAGAGGAAGGATGCCAGTGTCCTCAGGGAAGAGTTAGTAAATAATGTGGCTGGAATAGAGTCAGCAAGTAGTAGGGATGGAAGGAGGAAAGGAGGACAGAGAAGATGCGTGTGGAGTTCCATGCACACCATTTACTGATTGAGTGATCACAAACAGTTAATTCAAACTTCAAGTGCTTCAGTGCTTTTCCTATGGCCTACTGACCTCTCAAGAGTTTTGGAAGGATAAAATAATGTATGGAAGTGACTTATAAGCCATTGTTACTCTTCTTTACATAAGGATAGATGGATAGACAGGTAGATATAGATAGATAGATAGATAGATAGATAGATAGATAGATAGATAGATAGATACACAGATAGATACATAGATAGATACATAGATACATAGATAGATAGATTAATAGAGTTAAGGACTGAATTTCTGTGCCCACCCACCCACCAAATTCATATGTTGAAACCCTATCCCCTTATGTATGATGCAATTAGGAGGTGGGGCCTTTAGGAGGTAATTAGGTTTAGAAGAGGTCATGAGGATGAAGCTGCCATGATGCAATTAGCTCTTATAAGAAGAGGAAGACACACCAGAGTTTTCCCTCTCCACCATGTGAAGAGACAGCAAGAACGTGGCCCTCTACAAGCCAAAAAAGGAGGACTCACCAAGAACTAGATTTGCCTTGATCTTGGACTTCCCAGACTCTAGAACTGTGTGAAACATCTGTTGTTTAAGCCACACAGTCTATGATATTTTGTTATAGCAGCCTAGGCATACTGATACAGATAGGTAAACAGGGAGATAATGATTGATAGATGATAGATAGATAGATAGATATACATACATACATTCATACTCACTTCAATGACAGATGGAGATACTGCACATATACGTATGCTTAATGAATTCCTTAGAAAGCTTTCACTTGGCAATTCAACTGGGAGATCCCCTTTTTAAAGGGAGCATAAAAGTGCTTACTTTTATGAAGTACACACATGGAAAAATATAACTCAGCCTAAAAATGCACAGCACTGAGCCTAGTGCAACATTTATGAGATTAGACATGTAAAAACAAAGAACACCATCACAGAGAGGCTTCCAGACCCCTCCAGGCACCCAGGAGCCTGATTCATTTACTCTGAGTTGTTTGTTATGGTTCCAGAGGATCAAAACTCCTGCTCCCAAACACTTTTTGTTTGTTTTTTTTAGATTCCATATATACGTGTTAGCATACGGTATTTGTTTCTCTCTTTCTGACTTACTTCACTCTGTATGACAGACTCTAGGTCCATCCACCTCACTACAAATAACTCAATTTCATTTCTTTTTAAGGTTCAGTAATATTCCATTGTATATATGTGCCACATCTTCTTTATCCATTCATCTGTCCATGGACACTTAGGTTGCTTCCATGTCCTGGCTATTGTAAATAGAGCTGCAATGAACATATTGGTACATGAATCTTTTTGAATTATGGTTTTCTCAGGGTATATGCCCAGTAGTGGGATTGCTGGGGCAGGACAGGAATAAAGATGCAGATGTAGAGAATGGACTTGAGGACACGGGGACGGGGAAGGGGAAGCTGGGACAAAGTGAGAGAGTGGCATGGACATATATACGCTACCAAATGTAAAAGAGATAGCTAGTGGGAAGCAGCCGCATAGCACAGGGAGATCAGCTCAGGGCTTTCTGACCACCTAGAGGGGTGGGATAGGAAGGGTGGGAAGGAGACGCAAGAGGGAGGGGATATGGGGATATATGTATATGTATAGCTGATTCACTTTGTTATAAAGCAGAAACTAACACACCATTGTAAAGCAACTATACTCCAATAAAGATGTTAAAACAAAAAACTCCTGCTACCTGGCTTCAGAGAATCTCCTGCCCTTGTAGTCAGAAATGCCTCCCAAAAGCAGGGTTGACATCCAGGTTGCTTCTAATAGTTCCACACCTTCCGTCTGTGGTGCCTGGCAATATAACCAGGGACAATTTTTAATTTTAAAAATTCATACTTCTTGACTTTTTATTTTTTAAAAAATGGACTTCAAAGCTGAAAAGAATGATCCTGATAAGGCAAGCATTTAACAAATATATGAGAGATTTAAAGATAATTTTGAATTTCATGTTTTGATGCATTTACACAGTTGAAGCTATTTCTAAATAAATAAAAGTATTTTTAATGAAAATAATACATGAAAATGATAGCAACTCAAATAATACTGAAATTCAACCTGTCTAACCCCAGTTCCCCTCTCCAGAGACAGGTTTTTGCTACTTCAATGTCACCCCCATAATTCTAAACATTATGTTTATCCTGCTATATCCATTTTAGATCAATTTTAACACCCTAACATGAAGGAGGAAGAGAAACTCCTACCCCCACTACTACTCATCACTCTTCTCTTCCAATACATCATATTCATGTCATTACTCATACTGCTTCTCTTTTGTAACTTCATGTAGTTTTCCTAGCTTTATTGATGGGAGAAGTGGTAGCATAGTAACTAAAAGCACTGGATCTGGACATGGACCACCTGGCTTGGAAGCTTTCTTCCTCAGTTAATTAGCTCTGCAATCCTGAGTAATTTATATAACCTTCCTGGGCCTCTGTTTCCTCACCTGTAAACCGAGGAAATGAATGATACCCATCACACGGAGTTTCTCATGACAATGCAAATAATAATAAGGCATTTGCAGCCTTTAGTATCCAACACGCAGAAGCTCTCCAGAAATATTAGCTCTAGTATATAGCTATACTATCAACTTTCTTATGGTATCAACTTTCCCCCAATCTCATCATTTTCTTTCTGCATGAGACTATTTGTGCACCCACAGCTCTCTGTCTTTCCTCTCCCCTGTACAACTCACCTTCTGTCAATACCATGTTTGTTTCGTTTGTCTGTGTTGATCACATTTACATTTTCTTATGCAATCACAGCAAAGGGTCCTGTGTTTTATCTACAGGTTGACAACAAGAGTTGAAAACCAAGAAGTTATATTATTTAAGTTTTGCTCAGTCCTGGGGACAAGAGAATGGTAGGACTGTATTTTCTTCTCTCTAGGTATGGCGCCCCTACTTCTGTCGTTATTATTTAAACTCATGCTATATTTTAGTTTGCTTTTTACTTCAACTATTATCTTCTCACAAGATTTCATTACTTCTCCTAAAATTTCACCCACCTTCTTCTTTTTTTCTCCCTGCACTATTTGCCCATAATAAATTATTTTTTAAATTTTCAAATTCAATATTGTTTCCTTGGCTGGGTCCCATCCTTTGCCAGAACGCTTCCCTCCCCTACTCAGTTTGGAAGCTGTAAGACCAAAGTAAGGATAAGATCTTAAAAGAAAGGGGACCAACTTGCTTTTAGGCTAGGCCAGAAATAATGACTAATTACTAATTATGGAAAATGCATAATTCTGGCCCCATCATCCTAATTTCCTTGCTTCGTGGGAGAGCTAACCATCTGGATTTCAACCAGGTTATTATGAGGCAGGTAGTCCTTATTCCATACTGAGCCAAATACTGCTCTAGGCCATCAGTGGGATCTCACCAAGGGGGTCTCATGTATCTTGTAAGATTAAAAATTTTGTAAGGCACTTCAGGCTAAAACTCTGATTAGTAATAAGCAGGGTATTTTCCCTGAATATGTCTCTCAAGAATTAGAAGGTGGCTTGGGGAAGATTTCAGAATTTCAGACTCACGGATGCATGTCTTTCTTGTCCTAAATATTTTCCTTTTAGAGATCTAGAAACAGCCCTTGACTGTTATGAGACTGCCCAGGCCCTCCCTGACCCAGTCACTGCCGTGAACCCAGGTTGATGTGATGTAGTGAGGCTGCCTGACCAGCAGTTCATACTTTACCTGAGACAGACCTGGGCGTGGTCCTCTCAGCAGTCCCAGGACAGGAACTTTCTCTAATTATTGAGAGACACATGCAGGGAAAATACCCTGCTTATTACTAACCAGAGTTTTAGCATGAAGTAGTGCCATACAAAATTTTTAATCTTACAAGATACATGAGGCCCTTGGTGAGATCTCACTGATGGCCTAAACCAGTATTTGGCTTAATATGGAATAAGGACTACCTGCCTCAGAATTACCTGGAGTACTGGCTGAAATCCAGATGGTTTTCAGATGCCCCTCCCAGGTAAGAAAACCGAGGCTTGGAGAATCCCACAGGTGCTAAGTGGTAAAGCCATAATACGTATCTCCTGGATTTGTCCAATGCTGAGGAGCTGGGAGAGACAGAAAAACCGAACCAAACAAAACCACTCTTGAAAAGTTGTCTCTCTGAGGTAAATAGTACTTTTGTCTTGAATTCACACTAAGTTGGAGATCAGAGACTTTCTTAGAAGTAGGTTTTCACAAGACGGAGGACAAATGAAAGTTTATGTCTAAAGATATGGGGATTCGTTGGGGTTGGGGGGACATTGAGATAAAGGGTTCAAAACACGAGCACCATCAATTTCTAGTTTGCTACAGGACTCACCCAGGCTGTTGTACAGACACTTGGAAACACTGACTGTGGTGAAATATCTAAGCTAGCCACGTGGACCATCGCTCAAAACTACTTTTCTGTTTCCCTTGAAACACGATTTTATTGATTACACCAAATAAATATCTCAAAGTTATGACAGAAAGTTGAGTAAGTTATATGCTTGGAATTGCATTTATTATTAACAAGCACAGCTGTAGTGCTTAGACTATAAAAAGTACTATTATAAGTGCTTTGCAAATATTAACTCACTTAATCTTCATAATGGCAACCCTATAGGTAGGGAATATTCATAATATTCACTTTCTTGGAGGAAACTGAGGCCCAGAGAGGTTGAATAGCTTTTATAATGTCACACAGTAAGTAGGTGGCAAAAACCTAGGATTAAAACCAGACCGTCTAGACTTTCATCACTTTGCTGTGTCACCTTATTATAAGTTGTGTTTAGGGAAGGGACTATATTGACAAGACTCTGAACTAAAAGGAGAAGGGAGAAATGAGAAAATGAATGATCCTAGAAACTAGAGAGGATTTAGGCTCAGAAATTTCTAGTGATGTGACCCGGAAGAACAAGAACTTGGTTGGTATATTAACGTGGGGTAGTATCTGAATCCATTGAGAAATGGTTTTGTTTTCTTTAAAATTTAGAAAGGCCACTTGGATGAAGATTAATGAAAAAAAACGTAGAAAGGAAAAGAAGAAAGTGCCTTAAGTGAGACATAACCACTTCCCTCTAAGTACTAGGGGTGGGGTCCTGTGGGAAAGGATGGAGCTCTCTCTAAAGGTTTGTCACCAGGATGAACAAGGAGAAACATGGCAACCATTGTACGGGTTTTGATGATCCCTCAAAACCACGGCTTGTTTCCAAGAACTACCTAAGGCAGCATACCTACCGTGTGTCAGACATGCCACCAAGTGTGTTTCCAGTCACACATTTTAATTGGAGAAATAGTTCCTATGAGGTACGCATTAGTTCCCTATGGCTGCTGTAACAAATTACTACAAATGAGCTTGCGTAAAACAAAACACACTTATTTTCTTATGGTTCTGGAAGACAGAGGTCCAAAACCAGTTTCCTTGGGCTGAAACCAGGAGTTGACAAGGCTGTCCATCCTCCTTCCAGAGGCTCTAAGGGAGAATCTGTTTCCTTGCCAGCATTCCTTGACTTCAGGCCACATCAATCCAACCCCCACTTCATTATCACATTCTCTTTGGAGTAAAAACTCCCTCTGCCTCTCTCTTACGAGAACAGCAGTGGTTACATCTGGGTCCATCCAGGTAGTCCAGAAGAATCTCCTCATCCCAAGACCCTTACTTTCATCCCATTGGCAAAATCCCTTCTGCCACTTGCGGTGACATTCACAGGTTCTGGGGATTAGAATGTGGACATTTGGGGGCAATGGTATTATTCAGTCTACTACAAAGTAGATACTATTATCTTTCTCAGATGCAGGAAATGAAGTTTAGGGAAGTAATCTGTCTCAGGTCTACAACTTCCAGCATAGAGATTTAAATTCTACCAGTGAGACTTTAGGACACACTCTAAACAACTTTCATCTGTGCCCTTAACTACTGCATAATCCTTGCTTAAGAGTCACACTTAGGTATCAAGACCCAATTGAATAAAACACTATGTACTGTCTCATCTTTCACTTTATTTGCCTGGTGCATTTGTGACTCCTGCCCAGAGCAGAACAGTTCAGAAAATTGTTATGTAGGTTTACTAAGAGAAAGCATTTACTGTTTGATGTGCACAGAGTAATGGAAGCTTTTTAAAAATAGAATATGCCACCAAGTAGTGTCATCACCATTTTAGGTATTTAAACAACCAGACAGCAAGAACGAAAAGCTACAGAGGCAAAGGTGTCAGGGACATGTCTAAAGGCAACCTGCCAGAAAAGGGCTGGTGCCAGATGCCAGATGCCTAAGCCTGAATTCATCCTATCCAGTCCTGATTATGCACCTGTTGAGAGGGCTTGTGGGTCATCACCCAACACATGAGTCTTTATATCCCAGCTTCAAGACGGAAATTAGCCCAGGGATCACAGATAGTGTACTAATCACTAATTCATAATCTGCTATCCCCATCCTTTGTGGGACAGAACTGGGCATGTCTAAAATCCTTTTCTGCTTGAGAAAGAGCAGAGCAGCCTTTGCTCCTCTGGCTGTGACCTACTACTGTGCTTCGCAAAGGTGATTTGGCAAGTGCAGCTGCAAACCCAAATCCAATATCACACATCTATGGAAAATTCCAGTCAAGTTTTAGACCCAGTCACAGTGCATTTTTCTGAGGATCAGTAATGATTTGCTGAAAATCAGTAATGCTCTCTGTATGCTGGCTGATAAGGGCATGATCTCTGTGCTTACTATACTCCCTTTGTCAGCTCCGCTGTGACACAGCTGCCTGCGGGGTTCCTTAGGAATATTGGAGGTATTTAGGCACAATTTCAGGAGCTGCTCTTGCCTGTATC